TAAGTACTGTAATTATAAAATATTATGATAAATTGTACCCAACATAATACCTGTATTACGTCATCCCGAATACCTGGAGACGGTAATTGGCAGCAAGCTGTGGCAGTTTTTTATTTTAATCTTTTTTCGTTAACAGCAATTCCAGATATACCTGTCGACAAATCAAGACATTAGAAACTTTATAAAAAAAATAACTTATCATGCTAGGAAAACAATGTCAGTTCTATTGTGAGTGCAACTTTGTTATTTCCTCCTCAAACGAAACAATATCACCGGAAGTCATTTATTTCCGGGAAAATTCTGATGATATGAGTAACTTAATGGTTATTTCATTATTTTAATCATTTTATTGTTTAAAAAAACAATATGAAACAAACAGAAATAATATTCTTATCATTTTGTTTTTTCTAACATGTTTCATTTGGTGTGATTCTTTCCTTCGACTGATATATCCCACTGTGCTAAAACACCATTGGGTCCAAACAAGTCTGGTAACTTAAAATAAAGAGTGCTAATATTGAATGTATACTAGAAGAATAATATAGAAGTATAAAAAAGAAGCTAACCCATCAATGATCATGATCTTGCAATACCGAATCCTTTTTTCTGGGCGCATTTTGTTGACATTTTGAGAGTAATAAAACTGGCATGACGTTCGGTTGCGGTACGTACTTCCGGTGTTTTTATTTCAGGATCACTGTAATTTTTGATATGTTCACAGCCTGTATTAAGATCTGTGTCATTTCTGTTTATAACAAACGGTTCGAAGTCCTGGGAAACGGGTTTCTTGGCAGTGAACGGTTCACACATGTAATGGCTGCTAGAACGTAACAGTAATGACATGCATGTTTTATGGCTAAAGTATGTCATTTATCAGGGAACATTTTGTATGTATCGTGATGAAAGGAACGATAAGATAAACATCTTAAGATAAAAATGACGGTTACTACACTCTATATACTTTATGGACATGGAAACAATTTCATTCTCGTCAAAAATTGTAAGTCTCGCGAGACAATTTTCAAAACCGGTGCGATGGCTGGAATGTTGTACTTCCGGTTGATATATTAACATTGACATTCCTTCTTGGCAAGACGTGGAAAAGGCACGCGGTTTTGACAAGGTCATTGACACAATGTTGCACACCTTTTCTAAAACTAATGCTGTAGGAAATCTGCATCATATCATTTCATATCAAAATAAAAATTATATTCAAATATCTTTAAATAACAAAATTTCGACAAATAAGTACAATCTTGATAAATATAGCTGTAAGAACTGTCTAATTTCTAACCCACTTATTGTTAAAATTCCTTGAGCAAAGTGGTTTTTGCGTATGCTTCAGTAAAGTACACTAATCCGCCGTTCACATATTATTCTTATCATTATACCCTATATCATTTCAAAGTTTTTATAAGTCATTCTATTGGTGATGATTATTATTTTGTTGTATGTAGGAAAACGAACTGACGACAGATGAAGACGTCAGAAGTATTCTTTCTTGGTACATATCCAGGTCAACATTACATGAACGTTTGTTCAATTACTTCTGCACCTGGTGATGTTATAAATAGTGATACAAGTAGTAACCGTACCTACTAATTAAAACAGTTTGTAATTAACTATTTGGTATGTTACCAGAATTGTAATATCAGCTTAGATGCTTTGAAAGTTTATATATAAGACTAAAATCTATAGTTTTAGACAAATCTAAATTGTATCGTTAAGGACGGTCATCACGAGTACCAAACATCCGCGTGACGACACGAACGTTTGACTGACTAAAAAAGTCATGTCAAAGGTGATATCCGATGTAAGATGGACAGCACCTCACTTATCCCTTTTATAAAAATTGTTCCACGAATAGGTAACATTATATTAACTCTAAGTTCGGGATGTATTCTTTTCCATGCGTACCATATACGTACATACATATAATAAAGGAAGAAAATGATTTTTAAAAAGAGAGCCTCAAATGTATGTGTAGCTTGTATTTGGTTGTTGCATCTGTATATAAGTTGCAGTCATTTTTATATCTTATAAAGAATGTGGCTCTGTTTGGCCTGGTTTTATGTGGCAACGACGCTAAATGATTTGCTGTGATGTACAAAATAGTTGGATGAAATTGAAGTCAACTATGATTTATGGCAAAGAGCCCCTTGGTGATCATCATTTTATGCAAAATGTCAATCAAGTGGCAAAGTAAGTAAGCGTGTTTATAGAAATAGGATTATTCTTCACATTTTCATGTAATGTGAAAATGGCACTGAATGTGTCATTTAAAAGGTTTCGTCGATGCATCTATCGAATTGATAACTTTGCCTCCTTGGGAAAATATAACAAACGAAAGTTTAAAGGCATATGCTACAGTAAGATAGACATAAATGCAGATTGAAAACTGTATAATAGACTTTGTTTAAAGTTTGAATGAGCTTAGATCAAAAGCAGGTATGTAAATATGACAAGTGTTAACAACACTATCTTTACACTGCTGGAACCGAAATGAATTTACCTGTATAGAGATACATGTATATGTTAGCCAGGCTGCACATCCGTGCAGACTGAACAGGCTCTGTATTTATGGCTGACTAACTTTAAAAATTTCTACCATTTTCCCCAGATTGATAGAAAGTTCTAAAGAATCCGTAGCTTAAAAAGTGTACTTTACAAATTTTAACCTTGCAAAAAATGTATAGTCTTGCCAGTGTCAGAATTGTCGGCTGCTCAAGTTTAATCTCCTTTTTTTCTTGCAGAACAAAATGATAAGAAATACAACATATACATGTAAATGTCATAATAAATCATGTACAATGTAGAACTAGATAAGCATTTTTAACAAGGGAAATCTTTTTAAGAATATCCAAATGATATGTTTCCTTTGATTTTTTTTTATCAATATTTGAAAATGTGTCAATCCACTTTAAAAAGCATTTTCATCTAGAGTCGACAGAGGGACGTTCCTGTATGTCTCAAAGTAATTAAATATATAAACATTTATTCAATGTTTATTGTAATTTAATACCACTAGCTAATAATATTATATAGCGAGTATATATTTTGCGACATTAAACGGCAGTGTTGTGACATCTAACGGCAAGGGAAAATCGTGCGACCATTGCGACATATAATGGCAGAAAATATTGCGAAATTTAGCGGTACTCTTTCAACATTTAGCTGCGCTGGTGCGACATTTAGCGGCGTTGGGGCATATAAAGGCGCCACATAGATCAACGAGTTCTGTTAGACAAATTAGTCATGTATAATACATAACATTTAGGCATGATATATGTATAGTGTTTTAAAAAAACGATATTAAAGGCGTTTTTGGTTGTTTTTTTTCCAACTTCTTCGTAAACCTTCATTTATTCGGTTAAATAAATAATTGATCTGCATTTTGAACTTATTCCTTTTATCAGACATTTCAAATGTTTTAAATTGAAATCTTGTGACATTGACCTTAAACATGTTTAAATGCGCTTATCTTTGCCTGACATGTACCATTGAAGTTTTTGTTATCAGTGCATAATAAATTTAAACTGACCTGGTTTAGCGACACTTGACATAATTATTTATAAGGTTACAAAATGTTACATTTCAATCTTGTCTCTGAATTAAAGTGAATGTTAATCATTACTATTTGAATGTCTGTGTTTGAACGTACAGTTTGCGCGTCTGTAACGATATGAATACCATGTTTGACGTTCTGCCAGCACTGCCTATGACGTAATAAAGCAGTGACACTATTCTTTAATAAAGCCGTTAGAAGGAGATACATGTATCCATACCTTTTGGCAGAATAATAGAATATGTAGGTTTGTATTATTTAGTCTGATGTCTATGAGTTTTACTGAATAAGTTTTACTGTGATTTTTTTTAAATTTCAGACAAATTACTCTTATATATTAAAACAATATAATACAGATCAAAATTGCATGAAATTTGGCTTGGCATGTCATGACATAAAACTTGGTACAGTGGTATAGCAGGACATATGGCTTGGTACAGCATGTTGTATAGATTTATGACTGGTAAAGCGTCTATGAAGTACTACTATATATTAACTTACCAGAAATTAAAAATTGCCATTTTTATTTGTTTGGGTCGTCAGACCAAACAAATAATGGTAGAGAAATTTCAGACTCTAATGCTGTTAATTGCAAATGCCGAAAGTAGTCCGCTTTTTTGTAGCGTTTACTTCCCTTTAATTGTACACTAAGGCCGAAAAATTCAGGGGAGATGACTGCGTAAAGATGGCCAAATGACAGGCGCATTAATTTTCAAGCAAAATAATTCCCGAATGGTCGAAGATTTCTAATATTGTTTTATTCTTTATAGATATACATGCTTATAGTAAGCTCCATGATTATTTACATCTGTGTTAAACAACAGTAAGCGTCGTTACAAACCTTAATTTAGAATAATATGGTTTTCTTCAGGCAGTTAACAAATAAATTCACCGTGTCCGAAGGGTTTGCGCGCTCGTTAATGCAACTTATTTTTTTTCAAATTGTTTAAGTCAAATAAACATTGGATTGAATATCAGTGTTGCAGTTAGTCTTATAGCCAATTTACTACAATTGAAACGCAGGAAAGCATCGGAGGCACTATACAAAAACAAATTGGTTTATAATCTCACAACCTGCACCTTTCTTACATCCTGAGACCCAAACAAATTCAGCGCCTTCTGTGCTTTGATTATTTTGAAGTATTAAGAGAATATGCTTTACAGAGTTGATTTTTGTTCTCGTGAATAAATAAATCTCAGTGATTCGTCTGCAATTTGCCTACATATAAATGTGTAACAGAAAACAATCTTGCTTTGAAAATTTACACCTAAGGATCTTAACCTTAAACGTTTATTTTATGTACACGCTGTATCTAAGATTGTGTTATCTCTATTTGTTATCTCTAATAAAGATAAATTGACTTACTAAGGCAACCGCCTACATCAATTCTTTAAAAGGAAAACAAACAAAAAAACAACGTTACGAAAAATCAAAATGGCTTTTAATCTTGCAGGAAAAAAGTTTCTTGTTACTGGTGCTGGGCGGGGAATTGGTCGACAGCTCTCTAAAACCCTAAGTGAACAAGGGTGTAAAGTTTATGCACTGAGTAAGACTAAAGAAACGTTGGACAGTCTAGCAGCAGAGTGTGATAACGTTAAAACAATACATGCCGATGTTGGTGTATGGGAGGAAACGAGGGAAAAACTAAAAGACATAGAAGTACTAGATGGTCTTGTCAACAATGCAGCGTACGTCGGCGAAAACCTAATTCCAGCTTTGGATGTATCTAAAGAATATTTAACCAAGATTATCAACGCAAACTTGTTAGGAACAATAAATACTTCCCAGATAATCGGACGAAAAATGGTGGACGCAAAGAAACCGGGTTCTATTGTGAACATATCAAGCATATGGTCGTTGCAGGCTGTGCCAGAAAATATGCCGTACACGGTCTCGAAGTGTGCAATTGACATGGTAACTAAACAATTTGCGTTGGAACTAGGACCGTTCAATATACGCGTAAATGCTGTGAATCCTACCCTTGTATTAACAGAGAGCATCAAAAAGCAAATTGAAGAAGGCTTGCCTTTAGACAAACTTTTCTTAGATAAAACACCTTTACAAAGAATACCGGAAATTAGTGAAATCATCAACCCTATTTTGTATCTCCTCAGTGAGTACTCTTCAATGGTTTCCGGAACTATTAATATCGTCGACGGAGGGTTGATGTCTTCGTTTACCACTAAAATGTGAAAAAGGACCTTACCCCAAACAAATATGGATGTAAAAGTTAAAAAAGACAATTCGATATGTATGCAGTACTGTGTCTTAATTAAATCATGCCAAAAACGTTTTTCATTAAAAAATGAACAAGAATTTGATTTTGGACAAGTTTGTTCGTTTTGCTTCTCATATTTTTTTAATTTTGCAAGCAATGTCATACTCTGAAAGACAATAGATTGTTTTGTATATTTTTGGTACAATGCTTGCTGATAAAATTATATGCATGTATATTGGCATATGTTTTGGATTACATTTGAGGACCAGATTTCGGACAGTGCAACACAATGTGGACATTTCCACAAAACTTTGTAATAACTTTATTATAAATTAAAGTATTTGCAAACAAAATGCACTGAATCAAATACATCAATTGTAAACATTTTATGTTATGGAATCGTTATGTAATATGAAAGATATAACGAAAATTGTTGTATTAGATAATCGCTATTAACTAACTGTACTTTATAACGCTTTAAATTAAACCATATGACTATAAACTGTATGTATACAATTTTATGTTGAATAAAATTCAAGCAAAATTGAACTATTGAACAGAGTGATTGTTTAAAATTTAAACATGTTTATTCAACTAATCAAATCTTTTTGTCTATTTTTGAAGAGCCTGAATAAAGTATTTTACGCGATACGAAACACATGGGCATTATTTTTTTATTTATTTTAATGGTTATGTGATTTTCCACATTAGATGAATCATGCGTTCCCATAGCAAAGCAAAACTTTCCTACAAATACTTTGACAAGTAAAAATAATAATAAGAAGAAAAAAGTATCGACATTGTAAAGATGTTGTCCTTAACTTACTTCACGATCAGATTCTGTCAAACTTGTAAAAGGATTGCTGACAGAATATTATGTATTTTCCTTTAATATTGTCCTAAAGACAATGAGAAGAGATGAGACCATGGACTTTTACATAGGCATGTATATATGATGGTTTACTCCCCACATATTGTAACTGGTCTAGCCAAAACCATTGTGTAACCCATGACCACTTTATGTTTTGACTTTTACGTTGATTAGAAATAACGCACGTTCCAGTTCGCTTAGCGTAAAAAACATTTTTATTTTACTAAGAATTTGTATAAAGCCTATACCAATAAGTATTAAGGATATTCACATTAAAATAAGATAACGAGTAAAAGTTACAAAATACTTTTAACTAATATTCAGTTCACGAATTCAAAGGGGCTCATTAATTCATTATGAAGAATTTCTCCCGGCACGAGCCGCTGTGAATATATTTACTGCCTGTTAAAACTATAAAACACTTTAGATTAGATCCATGTCTAGCATCATTACTACGAATCGTTATCATGAATAATATTGTGTTGATATACATGCGGTATCTGCCCAGCGATTAACTGATAAGCCCCAAAACGAAAAAGAACATTATTTATAAGTCACGCTTACCTATCAATTTTGCTTTAATATGTTTGAGTCATAGATTTTTATTAAGTACAGTTGGTGTTTTCCAGCTCAGTGGTAATAAAAAGGGAGATTTCTTTTGATGAATGATTGCGAAAGGTTCGGATTTATTGGGGAGATAATACTTTTGGAAGACACTTATCGTTGATTAGGCCACTGACGGGAAATTCAAATAAAAATGATAACATGTTACTGCCTGAAATATTGCCAGTAATAGTCATATAAATAGTTTTTGTCTATTTATTTTGCGTATAAAATGAGAAATATATAGAACTTGGATCACAAACTACATACCCAAAGTCGTAGTCTTCATTTTGAACATTCATTATTTCTTGCCAATTTATAGGTGACATGGTAGCATTCTTATGTACGTTAATGTCTGATGAAAACTCGATGTAAACTTTGATGAATTTATCTAATGAATGAACTTGTATTGTTTTGGACAAAGGTATGATATGCAGATTTGTTAAATGAAACTGAACTGAACTGCTTTGAATTTGGAACTGCCCACTACATGTAGATCTATATGGATGTTGTTGGCAAGATGACCCAATATTGCATATACATGTACATGTATTTATATAGCTGATAATAAATTATGATTATTCACCATATAAATGTGCATACTAAATCACTTATAACTTTATCAACAATTTGTCAAGTAATATTTTATAAGAATAGCCAATTGAAACATTTCTTTTTCTTCTATCAATATTTGAAATACGGCAAATGAGCCCTTTGACCAATCCACTTTATTATAAAGATAAATTTAGTTTTAGACAGTATGTATTCTGGTTACATTGAACGAACATGTATACTGGCTGGGCACTGTTCTGGTGGTTCTAGCATGCATGGTGTCAAAAAAGAAAATCTTCTGTTGTGTTTCTGTGAAGACATGGAAGTTATGCAAATCTTACAACAGAAAAATTCTAAGTTAAACTGTTTTATTGTTATGCCACCGTACGACCTCCGTGATTGAACGAGTATGTCTACGTTACATAGTAAAGGTGAACATAATAAACTACTAATATGTTTTAGTTGTTGGGTATGAAGATTTGACGGTTATGTGATCTATTATAAAATGTTGTAAGTTAATTAACCTCAGACAGCAAGGCCATATAATCAATAAGAAGTCTTTTAACAATTTTTTATAATGCTATGACAAATATATGACTTAAGATTAACGCTGCGTGACGTAAAATTATCATAACGCTATAATTATTATGACGTAAATTGCCATAACGCTACATGACGTAAGATAGAAGACATACTGAGTGTAACGTCACGCATAAGAACAATGAGCCACAAATTATCTCTTTTGAGTAGAAATACTACATTTCCTGTACTACATAAAGCAACCAATTTCATTCGTTTAATTCTGTTTAGATCCAAGAAGGGGCCTTGTTATTGCACTGTGATTGAGTAGCTATTTTTAATTTGAGCTTTGTTCTTTGAATATGAAGTAACTCAGCTCATTAACTCTCGTTTTTTTCTCTATATTTTCTATGCCATGTACATGTACTTTCAGAAAGTTTTTTTTTCTTACAAGAGTGCCTTGATAGTTTTGCACGAGAAATGAACATCACGGTAGATTTTACAAAAATCTGAGATATGTGTAAACAATTTACAACAATTCAAAATAATATATTCGTTGTCTTATATTATGGAGACATTTATAATTTATTTTAACAATACAGGTTCCATTTCCTGTACCGTGCACGGTTAATGTCCATTACACCGTTGCATGTCACATAATAAAATGCACGCGCATAAAGTCTGGCTCGCGGACGACTTCGAATACATCAGCATGTTGCCACGCCTAACTTGCAGACGATAATTCATTCCGCATGTCACTGCGCGTTCGTTTTTCATTGCATCGTGGGAACTTTGCTCTGAGATGTTATTTCTGGATAAACAAATGCTTATTATGATTCTCACTTGAAGAAATTCGAGCTGCATTCTTTAATGGCTGGTAAATTATTCGCAATTGATACACAGCAGGCTATGTAGGAACAGAACATGGGAATATTTTTTCGTAGGGCACTATGTGTTCATAAATCATGATAAAAATTATAAGCTAATTATACCAAACAGTATCCTGTTTAGTTTTTTGTAGATCTGCCAAAATATAATACCTTTTCTTACCGTGATCCCTTTGATGGCAATTTTTGAAATAAAGTGCGCTATGATGGTCAACCCTCCTGAAAGTGACACTATCATAATTATGTAAGTTAAAAAGGCTAACTGAATGTGTCGTGGAACGGTTCAATGACAAAACCGTGTTGTTTCTCGTGGTCATTTAACGTGTATATAATTAATAAGAACTGAAGAACATCGTAAATAAAACAATAGCAATAATGTTATTTCGAAAGCATTAAGTCATTATTAAAAATCTTCATTTTTCATTTAAAAATAATTTCGGACATATATTGTATAGGGTAAATAGATATTTAATGATAATTTTCCTAATATTTATAATATCTTTCAAATATTTCCCTCTTTGTTTCTATTGAAAAAAATATCCATGAAATAAAAAATCGATATTTTCTACGATAGCATCTAGAGCGATAATTTAATCGATACAACAGCAAATCTACAGCTGTTGCACCTGTGTTTTTGCAATTGTCATGAAAATAGATAAATCTTCCCTATTTGAGTCAATGACGATTTTATATTTCGGTGATATTTTGAGGAAAAAAAACATTTATATTATTACAATTATATTTATAATAATAAGTTTAAAAAGATCGCATATGGTAAGAAGAAATGGTTTTCGACAAATATTAAAATACGACGGTTAGTGGACGACAAGATAGAAGAATAGACTGATTTTGTAAGGACAGATTTTTAGAGAAACTTTTAATCTTCATACTTACAATAAAATATGTGTCTGCCATCGTGTATATGTTAAATTAACTAATACATTGTAAAGTACAGTTTGACCAAAACGAACAAGTATTTGGTGAATAACAAAATGGAATAGCTTTAACTTATGACCCGTCAAATCTTTGGTAATCTCAATAAATCGTGAAAACTTGTTACGTATGTTTTATTTATTACACGAATATGCCATTAAATGCATTTTCTGTGCCAACTAATCTTTTAAACACAACTAGATTAACAGTACATCATATTTATGTGAAAAAGGTCAATTACAATACTTTCGATTAAACAATAATCGAACATAATTATATATATTCTCAAAATGATTTTATGTATTGATATTCGTCTTCAACATCGCCATTGCAATACATACATTTTTTTTGTTCTAAGCAATTAAGTTCAAACATTCATGTGCTGTTAACTATGATGCACAACATGCTTTAAGGAAAGAGAGTGGAGCTTAAGAAGTTACTGGCTGAATTCCTGGCAATAGCATGTCACAAATAGTTCTGGCTTTCAGAGCCAAATGTCCGTGATCAGTGATGATAAAATAATAAGTGACTGAATTGGCAAAACGTCTTGTACGTGTGTAGCCATTAAGCAAATGTCCTCTAATGAATAACAATTAATAATAAGCAAATG